AGCAGCAGCAGCAGCAGCAGCACGGCTGAAACAGCAGTAGCAGTGGCAGTAGCGTTTGCTGTAGCCGCCGTTGTTACCCTGGAATTGCGAAGTTTCGTGGGTTCGGCTGCCGGCTAAGACCGTGTGCTAAATTGTAGCAGCTGACGAACGGTTATAAAAAATGATGAAAAACCCAAATGTTCAATCCTGAGCTCTAGACTCTAGACCCTGGACTCGATCTCATGGACAGCCAACTTTCGTCCGAATCCTGATGTTGCCGGAGGTATGCTAGTTTCGAGTTCGGCTGTTGCATGAGGTAGCATTGAAACCTTCAGGGTTTAGGGCTTACAGAGTTTCATGCCTCTCTGAACCTAAAGCCACAAACGTCGGGTGCTCCCAGAGGAGCTTACCACCCTCAACCCTAAAACCCTAAANNCCTAAACCCTAAAAAAAAAAAACTAAAGCCATCATCAAGTTTGATGGGAACCCCAGTCAATCGACAAAGCCCTTAGCGCCTCCCCGCCCAGGACAGCCAACACAAATCACAGAAAGCCCAAGACCCGAATTGAACCCTAATGTAAGATAGCTTAATACATAGTGGAATAGACTAAAGTATGCTACACCTCCCTGCACCCCTGATCCAGCAAGCACCAAACCGCCAAACCCTGATCCTAATCTTATGGAATCCTTATACTGTAGTATCCTTGTAGAAGCTGTCAGGAACCTTCCTTCAAAGCCTAAACCCTACACTAAGAAATCTCTGCCCCTGTCAGACGGGAGCCGACTCCCTCGTCGAGGGCTGCGATGATGGGAGCTGGCTCCTGGGATAAGCGAGGAAACTTTTCGCTCATATTGCAGGAGCAGGTAACGTGGTGGTATATGGTGGTTGTCGAAAATTTGGTCCCTTTTTGGGTACCCTCAATATTAGGTGCCGTATTATATTCAGGAGCCAAAAAAGGGACCATAATTTTGACAGCAACCCACATGTACCCATTATTGTTACTATTGTCATTAGCGTTATTCACAATCCGTTTCCATATCGGACTTGTGACATGTATATATATATATATATAACTCTGAAGGTCGCCATGTGCATATGTACATGCCTGTCTAGCGATTCGTTGTTTCGCGCATTGCATGTAGCTGTCGCTGGCGTTTGCAGACTTCGTGTCTAGTCATACATGTGGGGGTGTGTATATCTTTGTAGACTTTTGTCGTTCAAGACTGCACCTTGGTGGCTTTTCCGGCATTCTGTGTATGACTACATGCTGTGGTCCCGATGCCGAAGCCTTAGTAACCTAGTAGACCCTGTTAAACCACAAAGCCTCATAAGTCTTAAGGCCCAAGCCCGAAGCCCTGCCAACCCCCTAAACTCTCATAGCACAAATAACCCCAAGGCTGTAGTAGAGCCCAAACCTACACTAAACCCAAAGCCCCTGGAAACCTGCCGGGCTTCCGGGGCGTGTCCGCAGCATGTGAGCCTTGTGGGGTCGATGCTTTCGGTTTTCAGTTTAGGTTTGGGGTTTATGGTGTTCAGGGTAGGGCCGGGTGAACTCCCGAGCAGCCAGCAGAAGTCCTTAAAGATCTTGAACAAGCTACCTTCAAGATGAACCAGAGCCACACCTGACCACTGTCTACGGGTGTACAGTATATAGGGCTCCTTACGGATATTGGTGGTGTACGTTTTGGTTTGTCTATATGGGGACACTGGACGCTAGACATAGACACCCTGCTCCAGTTAGAGTCTTTTGAGAAAGACCCGTATAGACCCTGACAGGAACCCTTGAGAGGGACCCATTTTCGAAGTATTTACTAAGACCCCGACAAAGCAAACTGGGGATTAGCTTATGTAGAGAGGGCTAGAAGGAGCTTGCGGGTTTTTGTTTGGTCTGCTTGAGCATGTCCGGTCTTTTGGAAGTCCCAAGTCGTGCGCTCCTTTGCAAGGCTGCTGCAGCAACAGAGCGCGGACGATTTCCAGAACAAGAAGAAGGGCCTGTTTGAGCCTCTCGGATTCTGTGGGGCCTATGGGGGTTAGGGGCTTAGGGTTTAGGGGGTTTAGGGTATTCCAGAAGCCTTAAGCAATCCTAAACAAAAGCTCTGCCCCCCCAAACTCTCAATGCTTTTTTTTGGGGCCTCCGCAAAGCTAAGAATGGCTGGTTCCTAGTAGGGCATGGAGGAATGGGCTCTTGGGACTACTATAGGGGACCTTAAGGGACTCTCATTCCCCCATTCCCTATCCCAGACCACCGAAAGGATCTAAAAAGGTAGATCCCCTAAATTTGGGACCCTATACTACTAGAGGGTACTTTAAAGGAACCCCTTTAATTAGGGGATCTATTTTTTTAGATCCTTCCGGTGGTCTGGGTACAAAGAACCAGAGAGAAGAATGGCATCCTGAGGGATTCTGGGGGCCTTCGCCATCTCGATCTCGCTTTTTTCGAAGGGCTGCGGCTTTTTTCTAGGTCTGGACGAACCTAGGGAGAGGGTTTAGGGTTTAGGGGTTTAGGGCTTTAGGGTTTAGGGTTTTAGGGTTTAGGGGTTTAGGGTTTAGGGGTTTAGGGGTTTAGGGTTTTAGGGTCTAGGGTCTAGGAACCTGATTCTGCAGATTCATCGTTTTTCCCCTAAGGTTCAAGCCCTTCCCCCCCCGTAATATTCAAACTCCCGGGCCCCGGGATTTTGCGGATTCGGGCCCGGCCTTTAAACTAACAGGAGAAAAAAAATATATATAATTGTTATTATTACTATTCTTCTTATTATTTTTTTTTGGGGGGGGCCTAGATTTGTATTAGTTTTAATAAAACCAAGGTTTTTATTGTAAGAACCAAGATTGCAGTAGTACTAAACCAAAAGGGCCATGACTTTAGGACTGAGGCGTTAAGGGCTTGGGGCTTATAAGGTTTTCAAGGTTTTCAAGGCTTTCAAGGCTTTAGGACTTTAGGGCTTAGGGGTTAAGGGCTTAAGGTTTAGGGCTTACGGCAGAAGGCTTAAGGCTTTAGAACTTAAGGTATCGAGCTTAGGGCTTGAGGGTTGAATGAGGGTTCAAGGATTAGCGCTGTTAGAAGGATTAGGGCTGTAAGAATCTAGTTGCTTATGTGTCTGTGTATCTCTGTGGCCGTCTCATTTGTCAACTGCCTATACCTTTCTGGCTGGCCCGTACCTGGATGCTCAACCCCCCCTAATATTGCAGCTCGGGCCCGGATTTCGAATTTTAACATTTGCGGAGGGGAGGGGACCCCCCGTTTAACAATAGGGTGAAGGGAGTACTGTGGAAAACTAAATAATTTCAAACATTCTGCCTGACAGTTCCTGAATGTAACCGCACTCTTGAAGAGCCGAAAACCCGGTTCTTATTCTTCAGGCCCCTACGTTAAGTAAAGCCCCTTATTGAAGCACCAAAGAACACTTCTGCTCCTTCCCAGAATCCTTCTTAGTGGAAGGGGATGGTGGAGTCTAGGCTCTGCAGTATGCTGTTCCTGCTTCATGCCTGCACACCGGAGGCTGCGGTCAAAGCACAGCACAAAGCGTGAGATCCCTAAACCCCTAAACCTTTCCCTGGTTATGAGGGGGAGAGCACGGCGTAGCCTCAGACGGCGGCACCGCATCTCCCAGTTCCAATCCAGCGCATGTCCTCGGATCCGCCACCTTGGGCGAAAGGAGCAGGCTGCCCGTATTAGGCCACCCGGTAAACTCAGCCCTTGCCAAGAACTCGCCACGCAATCTCCCTCAGGCATTCGCCAGGGCAATCGGAACTCAGCACACTTTGCAGCGCCGTCGAGGTGAACTGTACCGATGGTAGCCATGGTCTGTACAGTAAACCCTTCCGCGGTGACCCTTGATCACACAATTGCAAACTTCGGATCTTGTGATGACGCGGGCTAGGCCAGACCTCAATGCCATCCATTTTGCGGATCCTGTCAATACTGGAAATCAGTTGCACAATCATCTCCCTCACGACCACCGGCAGCATAACCCCCGTGGCCTCCAACAGATTAGTCCAGGACCATTGACCGCAGGTCTGGCTGCGAACCGGTGGCAAAAACCCTGTCGTGATGACAAAATTAATCAGCAGCTCGAAGAACGTGGTCCCTGCGTAGGTTCGGTCAGGCGGCAGGCAGGTTGGCCATCTCAGTTGCTGAAGCCATATAAACAATGCTGACGTATACCACTGAGGCCACTCGCTGTGGCGCTGTTCCCAACCTTCAGGAAAAAGAACTTGAACAGTGGCAAACTCAAGCGAGGGCTGCAAACCAAGCCAGGAGCAGGCAGGATCCATGGCAGTCGCCGCACTGAGGGCTTGTGCGGTCTTGGAGCGGTCCTCCCGACGAGCTGGGACCACAAGCAGCGTGAGCTGAACCAGATACTGGCAGAAGAGGTAAAAGTAGTCGGCCTGCTGGACCCTCCAATGGGCCACACGGGCACACGTCTCGTCGGCAATAGCAAGGTCGTTACGCAAAGCTGTTTTGGCAGCCTCATCCGCAATGGCATCGCCAAGCTGAGCCACCAGCGACCATGATTGCCCATCCTGCAAGCAAGTTGGAAGCTGCTGATGGGCTTTCACTTTGTGGAACGTAGCACCCCGCACCAAAACATCAAGATTGTCCGGGACCAGGTCAGCACAGAAAGACAGATCACGTGGCATTGCCGCACCCTTGGACGCAGCCGCCACTGCGCGGAGAGCATTCTGCGAGTCCGACCACAAGACCGGCGCCAATATCTCCAACTCGGCCGCAACCTGGAGAGCTTGGAACAACGCACAGCATTCTGCACGATTGATATCCTGCCGTCCAGGAACACACCCCTGAGCGACCACATGCCAATAAGGCGGCGGGAGGCCATGCTGCTTCCAAAAAGGTATGTCAGCTGCAAGGTCAGGTGGATCGTGGCCTGCATACATGATGACTGCCCAAGCTGCATGACGTGCAGCCGGCACCTCCGGACGCTGACAGGAGCCATCAGTGAAGAGATGGACCTCGGCTGGCAAAAAGGTCCTCAGATGCGCTTGGGGATTCGGCGCAATCATGCGACGTGACCGCCAAAACAAGCGCAGGAATCCTTCATCCTCATGTGCCGTGGGGAATGGGCAGTGCAGCCAATGTGGTTGTTCAGCCAGCACCCAGTCGAGCAGCGGCTGGTACATTCGCCGGAGCGGCGCAGCAATCGGGCACTCAAGGAGGCGGTGATGCTTGCTATCAAGCATTCCACAAAGATCACACTGCGGGCATTGAAGGGGATCCCAGGTAGCCCTTGCCGCATTTGACATAAACCCGCCAACAGCACTCTGTGCAAGGTGAACTTGCAGTCCATCAGGGAACCGGGCCAAAATCCGGTGGCAAATATCGGGTGCTGGGCATTGGACCCGCTGAAGACCGTTGCGGTCGCGAACCTTAGCAGGGACCAAATCAAGCCAAGCTGTGCGCAGTGCAGCCCGAATCATTCGCGGCGGATCAGTCAACAAGTTGAAGCACGTATTACCAGGCCCTTTAGCAGTGCCGTCCACATCAAGACTCCAATCATTCCGTCGGAGCAGCCCCGCCAAGGCAGTGGCTGGGCCGATGGGACGTTGAGGGGACACCAGAGCTGCTGTTGTCACGGCCAACCATTGGTGCGCAAGCTCTGGGCGGCAGAACATCATTCGCTGGAGGGCCAACAAAGCCTGGCACAACAGATAGACCTCCGGGTCTGTGATCTGGGGGGTCAGAACAGAAAGTGTCAAGAGAGGGCTCGCACTGGGGCGAGGGCCAATCAATGCACGACAGGCACCGGTACGGAGCTTGCAAACTCTATCAGAGCTCAAGAGGCGGGCCTCAAAACCGTAGAACGTGGCCGGCCAGATGCTGGTCTGGATGATCCGAGCTTTGTGTAGCAAAGCCACACCAGGCCTTTGCAGCTCAGTAAGTCGGCGGTGGCCTTCAGCCAGGCGTTTGGCTGCTGCATCCAGACTGTTGAGGCGGCGAAACTTGAAAGCCACGCCCAAATCCTTGGCACTCTGCACAACTGCAAGCTGCGAGTCAGGAGGCAGCAGTTGCTGGGCGGGGCCGGCCAGCCACTGGCGTAACTTTCTATCCGTGGACCACGCAAAAGACTTAGTCCAGTCGATGGGCAAAGCCAGAGAAGAGCAAAAGCCCTGCGCTGTGATCAGCGCCTTCGTTAGAGACTCAACAGTGGTGCCAGTCCATGTGAAATTGTCCACATAGGAGGATTGTTCAGCGCCAAAGCTCATGTGCTGCACCTGGGCCGCCCAACAGACAGCAACCTGGGCCACGACAGAAAGAGGGCAGCCCTCAGGCATTCCCGTACAGGAAAGGACGGGCGGGCCAATGGAGCCATGAAACACCGGGAGGCGATGGCAACAGTCCAGCCAATCAAACCAGGCGTGCAACACTGGTTCCGGGAAGCCCAAATGTGCGAGAAGAAACCTCAGCGGCACTCTGGGCAACTGATTGAAGCATTTCACCACATCAATGGAAAAACCTGCAAAGGGTGTGGATGCAAGGAGGTGCAGTTCGATCTGGCACTCCAGTGCAAGCGACAGATCTCGAACAGACCGGCCTGGGACACTGCCCATAACTCCTCTGGGGAGCCAGCTGGACCAATGCTCGAGCACAGCTTTGGCCACACCAGAGGCCCACAAACGGTAAAGGTTGGCAAAGACGGTGATAGGGCGGCCATGCTGCATTCCAAGTGGCTGCGAAACCTTGGCAAGAGTGCTGACCGTGGCGCGAGCAAGATGCTTGGGCCAGCCATGAACTGAGCACAGCGTGAAAAGCCGGACCAGATCCTCCAGGGGGGCCGACGGCAGCCAACGTAACTCTTGATTAGAGAAGCCGCAGTACCCTGTGGCCGACCGAGGCTTGAGGTTGCGCAGGTGTTGTTGCCAGAAGGCGGGATCATCGAGCTGTAGCTGTAGACTGTTGCACTCCGGCGGTGGCGCCGGCAGGGAGGTAATAAATGAAGTCCAGCAATCTAGGTCAGTGGCAGCAGGACCTTGGTCCCGATTCCACAGTGGGTGCCAAAAGTTAGTGAAGCACCTGTGCAATTCACGTGCAGTAACCGCCTCGGTGGCCTGGCAAAGCTTACAGCTCATTGGCAGTGGTTGTTGAGCGAAATGCAGCCACAAGCGCGGCCCAAAGATATCGTCCTGTTGACACGCACCTACCTGGACTGCTTGGTCATCAGCGACAGCAGGGCAGCCGGCACAAAAGAACTCGGGCGCGGGAACCCGGTAAAGGCCCCAACCGTCCTTGGCACAACAGTCAAGTGTGGCATGTTGGCACTCCTCAACCGGCACGGAGGTAAACGGAGGATTCTCTGAGGGGCGGATGGAGCGATAGCCCTGCCGAAGGCCCGTGGAAGCATCTTGGGCGGCCTGATAAGAATGGAGCAACCGCCGTTGATGTTGCTCCTGGCGGATAACGGCGTCACACTCATACCGGACAAAATCAGAGACATCCCGCAGCCAGTCGTCCGGCGGCAAGTACTCAAACAAGCACTGGGCAGCGGGAAGTCCCTCAGACGAAGCTGCAGCAGGGCAAGTATCGTAGGCCTCCACGAAATGCGCAACCTGCAACAGCCACTGACCAAAGCAAGGCGGATAGCCTCTGGCAGCCTGTATAGCCGCCCATTCCTGACAGAGCGAGGCAACAACTGCATCCGGCGGCGACCCGGACCAATGACCGTGTGGAGGCAAGGCGCTTTTGGAAGGACTGCAAGCGACGGACCTGCTTAACCTTGTGCCGCGACCTGTGGGAGAGGGCCTCATCAGGCGGGGAGTAGTCGCCACAGCGAGCGTTCGGTGCAGTGACTGGTAGAGCCTGTGCTTTGACATCCCTGTAAACACATCTGCCTTTGGCACGGCGCGGAAGGCGGGCCACTGGGCACCGGAGGGGATCCTCACAGTGAGCCTGCTGAACAGCAAAGTCCACCGAAGTTTCGAGAACAGAAGCCCACTGGGCAAAAGCAGCATCAAGGTCCTCCCGAGAAGCACAGGTATCCAAGCTTTGCTGCACTCCAGCCCGACTTTGAATGTAGCACCGCTGCGCCAAGTCGGCATCGGGCTCAAATTCCATCCAACTGGTAGGCTTGCGCCACACCTGTTTGCACGGGTTGTGCTGGGGCAAACAGAACTCAAGCAACACGGGAGCGTGGGAGTCAAAGAGGTGGCATTCCACGTCCACTGAAGCCTTCTGGAGCAGGGGCTGAAAAACCCGAGGGAGCAGCACAGAATCATGCCTGGTACTGTTGCGGCAAGTAGGCGGCAGCTGCTGCCCAAAACGGCTAGCACAGAAGGAAGAAAGCTCTGCATAACCCAAACGCTGGAACTCCGGCCAACAAGGGAGCTTGGTGACATCCGTATTGAAATCTCCGCCGACAATTGTGGGCAAGGGAGAACCGGCAACCGACTGGAGGACCTCCTGAAACAAAGTCTCATTTTTGGCCTTAGCCGCACTGTGGTTGGCCGGCCAGCCATAGACTACAATCAAACGGGCGTGCAGCGGCCCAAAACGCACGTGCCCCAAGACCAAGCGGTGGGCGGCCACACCTGTGCATTCGAGAGGCTGGAAAGGCAACCGCACAGGGAACAGAGAGGCGATGGCAACACCAGCGGCATGTCCGCGCAGGGAGTCGGAGCGGCAGGTCTCAGCATGATGTGGGGGAACAGCAGCGCCCCACACCCAAGAAAAACCAGTGGAGCGTAACCTGCTAGACACGATGCGTTGAGCCTTGGCGACAGCGGAAGTTTCCGAAACAAGGCAAACATGGCAGCGCAGGGCCACTAGCTGAGCTTCCTTGTTCAACAAACTGGTAGGGTTGAGCACGGCCAGGCGGAAGCAAGGAGAGTCTGTCCCATCAGCTGCCCTTAACCTGAGGTCGGACGGGGCCTGGGAGGCAGGGGAGGCCGCACCTGCTGCAGCACGGGGAGCAGGCCCGACTGGGCAAAACAGCTGAGGCAGCGTGGCACGGGGTTTGGGGCGTCCGCCAGCACGGCGGGGATGCACACGGGGGGGAGGGTTGCGGTTTGCAGGATGCAACGGTGCCGGTAGAACCGGGCACGAGAAGGCAGGTGGGCGTGGACAGTGGCCAGCAACACCAGGAGCAACTGCAGAAAAAGGTGGTCCCGGATGAAGCGCTTCACCATAACGGAAACCAGTAGAGAACGCATGGTCAACTGCCAAAGGCTGGTGGGAGCGGGGGGCAGTTGCAGGAACGGGGCCAACTCCGAAGCAAACGAAGCCGGGCAGGCAAGCTGGAAAAAGTGTTGGCGCGGCGGTAAGTCTACCACTGCGCTGCGCGGGAAAGGCCTGTAGAAGCCCAAGTGCCCAACCCCAGGGAACCTGAGCATCGTTCGAAAACAGAAATCGAAAAGAAGTATCAGCGGCAACACATCGGTTGGCGCAAGCAAGTCGCTTGTGAGGGGAGGCCACACCCAAGGGCACAAACAAGCAACCGGATAACCCCAAAAAAGTTATGAGCCGTGAGAGGAGGCCAGCACGGAGTCAAAGGTCCGTGTCCTCCTTGGTCTTCGCTTTTTTGCAGGGTTCACGGGAATCACGGCATGACAACATCAAGCACTTCAGCTCCTCAAGGCTGGCTTGCGTTTGCTGCTGTTGCTGCAACTGGGAGCCCTTCAGGGACTCAACCGACAACCTAAGCTGTGTGGCAAACTCATTTCCAATGAGACTCATCTGGTCACACAACTGCCCAGCTGTCCTGGCAGCGGCCTCCCGATCATCAGCCTGCGACTGCACCAGCTCAGTGTGGTTGGCCTCTTGCCGAAGGCGTAACTGTTCAAGGCCTTCCTCCAGGGCATGCAAACGAGACTCTTGGGCCTGAAAGCGCTGCTCCGTAGGGCCGGCAAGGGAGCGAGAGGGAGTTTCCGATGTGGCAACCGAACCAAAGGAGGGTCTGCTAGAGGCGGTAGCCCCGTTGGAGTTCGCAGTGGCAGCAGCCCGCCATGGATCAAAATGCACCCAAGGATCTTCTGGTTTCAAGGTGTTGTCATTGCGCGGTGTGGCAGCTACCGCCCGTGGTCCCAGGTGGCCCGACTGAACCACAGGTGGGGAAGTTGGCTTGGCGCTGACAGCATTGACCAGTATGGTCTGCCCGTTGAAGGCTGGGTACACTGAGGGCGGCGCTGCAGAAGCGCCCAACAGCCAGTGGCGAGCGCCAAGTGCCTTAATAACACGAACCTGCCAGCCTGCCTTGGTGGCCCAGTCAACAATGGCCTCTGCACTGGCAGTTTGGGGTAGCGGACCCACCCGGTAGAGCTGATTCACGGCCACTTTATTGGGAACCATCTGGCCTGGCCGCAGGCTTGCGAAGATGGCGGCGAAGCGAGCAGCGGGAACACGCAAACCAAAGCGGGTCTTAGCTCGGACAAGCCCCAATTGCTCAGGGGTCTGCAAAGCAGCCCTTACTGCATCGCCACGGGCGTTGCCCAACCAGACAATGGCATAAGACTGAACAACAGTACGGTCCATGTTGCGCGGCGTGCAATAGACATGATTGTGGCCGCTGGCGATGAGAAGCTGGTCCAGGGAGTCCGACAGAACCCGGGCTTGAAAGCACACCCTATCTGCCAACGATGCAATTGCTGGCCTGCCATTTTGCGAAAAGGCACGGCCCCAAGGATCAGAGAATGGCTTGTCGATGCCCCCTTTACGGAAGCGATCCAGCACCGCTCGGACAGGAGCCTGAGTGATGGCAGACCAAATCTCAGGCTCAAATTCATCAGCGTAGCATTCGAAGGTGCAGCAGCTCATATCCGGCAGGGCAACCGTAATGTCGCCATTGTCCTTGGTACGGACACGCTTCCCACCGAGGTTGTGCAAGCAGCCCGCAAGGAGCAATCTGGAGCCATTGGCCCTGGAAGTGGCCGGGAAGCAGAGCTGACCGTTGCAGTCATCAGGGCACGGGCAAGAGTGGCCCAGCACTAACAAACCCAACTCATCAGGCTGCACCCCTCGCAAGGTATGGATCAGCGTCTGGGCTTCGGGTTCGCCGACCAACTTCACACCTGAGACACCTGGGCGGATTTCATCAAGCAAAGTGGCCGGGGTGCCGTCCTCATTGAGAAAAAAATCTGCGGTAAGGCAGACCTCGTCTGCTTGGACCGTGCGCCTGTCGTGAGTTTTGCGCCGTTGGGCAGCCTTGATAGCACGATTGGCGGCCTTGGCAGGGAGATTGCTAGACTGTGGCACCGCAACTCCAGCAGTGGTAGCCAACTCAACAAGGGCCTGCCATCGGTCAGCTTGGGATGAGTCCTGCAGGACGGAAGAGAGGCGCTGGGCCCCAACAGCATTCGAAAGCTGATCCACGAACGCAGTGGTACAGGCAAGATCAAAGCCCTTGGAGAGACAAAGGGAGGCTGCCCTGGTCTGGGCCCAACTAAGGTTCTCAGCCTTAACGCCGCCACCACGAACCTCTGGGTGGTACGTGAGAAGTAAGTGGCCTGAACGCCGAACCACACATGCACTGGCATTCGAGCGGAGCTCCTGGAGCGAGGTCTCCGGTACATGAGGATGAGGGCCAGAGAAAACACGATGGCCCGCCCCTAAGCCACAGACGCGGCTGGCAGTACCCCAGAAATCAGAAAGCTCGGCCAGAGTCGTAGCCGCAGGGAGCCGCCCGGTCCAGATGCACCTGGCCACAACCTGAACTTCAGAAGCAATCGAATCTGTTGGGCTCAAGGAAGCCAAGGCATCAAGCTGTGCAGTGAGAAGCCACAATCGCCACTGCTCATGCATCAAGTCAGCAGGCATACAGGGGTGGCGAGCCTGCCGCAGATGACAACACGAGGGTGTGGGTCCCCGCGGGGGGAAGTTCTCCTCTTCCGAGGACCAACCCAAAGCATGCACCAGATGAAAAGGCATCGCCAACCAAGCATCAAGAGCAACTTCGGCCGCGACCTGCACCTGTAACTCGTCTGCACGCCTGGCAACCTGGAGGCCTGGGAGTACCGGCACCAACATGCGCAGAGGGAAGATCGGCACCTCCTCGTCTTCAGCAACGGCAACCATACACGCTGAGAACTGCTCTGTAGTCAACAGTCGTTGTCCCGTGGTGGCAAACAAGGCCAGGCTGTTACTTCCAGGTGCAACCTCCTGAAAGACACGGAAGAGTTGCGACCAGGCCCTTGCTGTGTGCAGCTCAACCACAAAAGTCTTGGCGTCAGACAAGATAAGCGCCAGGCCATGCTTAGTACCTCCTGTGGAAACAAAGCCGCCACAGTTCAGCTCTAGCGGCTGCTGGACATGTACAGTGAGGGATTGCAGGCCTTCAGCCATCGCACCTGTGAAGCACGAGGCAACTTCCGGGCAGCCAAGGAAGTCGAAGAAAGGGAGGACCGCGCAGTCAGGCGGGGCGGACACCTTAAAACCATAAGCCGGCATCCGAATCAAGACTTCGACAAAGGCCTCAGGAGCCGGTGCACACACCGACCGGGGCATCAGACGGCCCTGCGTTTGCAGTACTGCATCAACCTGAGAGCGATGGCAGAGTACCCAATCAGGACCAAAAGGCATCAGCAACGAGTTCGCATTGTGCAACCTGGCCCTCAGGCAAAGAGCAACCGCAGCAGCAGGCTCTGGCACATCAGAGACTCCCAGCAAGGAGCAGGCGCAGACAAGGGGCACCATGGCATGGGGGACAGCGATGCAATTGCCCAGCAGTTTCATTTGCTCGCGTTGGTCCGCGGCCAGGAAAATGGGAACCGCAGCTCCGTGTACTGCGGCAATCTCTGGACCAGAGAAGAACCTAAGCAAACCCGACTTGCGGAGCAGGCAGCCATGAATGCCCTTCTGCAGTTGCGCCGGGGGCAACTCGTGCTGAAATTGGTACTGAGCCACGAATACACCTGCCGTGTCTGCAGCGGTCTTTATGCGGAACTTCTGCGGGGAAGGCGGGGAGTGATGAGCATGCCGAGGTGTGGGCACGTACCATGGATCCATATACATGTCAAGCACGTCCTGCGACGGTGTGTTAGCATCAAGCATGGTGGGAGGCAGGTCAAACAACACCTTGGCCTGACCTAGATTAATCCTTTTGTCAATCGTCCAGGACCCTGGCTGCAGCTGCTTGTGTCCTGCATTGGTGCGATGAGATAACACCATCAGGAAGCGTTGCCTCTGGCTGGGCAGCACATCAAGCAAGTTCAAAGAAGCCTGCCATTGTATCACATAGCCCGCCAAAGACCATGCATGCATCACTGTAGCAAAGTGCGGGTGATTGGTAAAATGAGCAACCTGTTCCAGCAAAACCAATGGTATCTGGAAGAGCCCAACAATGTCAGCCGCACGGAGCAATAAGAGCCCATCTTCTGAACTCAAACCCTGCTCGCTGCCTGCCGAAGACCAAGGCTGGCACGGCGCAGAGATGCAAACAATGTGCACAGGGCGTTGCCGAAAGACCCTTAACCACCAGTTTCTTTGAACATCCGCACAGAGATGAAGCACACCATCCGCCCCAGCAAGAAGCAAGCTCTCCAAATCCGAAGCCTCAGCCCAAGATGCATGCTGGTGGCACAACATGTCGGAGCAGGCACCATCCACATCCAGCGTCCACGAGGTCTGGACTGGAATCCCTGCAGTATGCAATATATAGGCTGCCTGGCTCCATCCTGAAAAACCGCCTGAGAAAATCTCCGCCATGTGCACGCAAGTGTCGTTCAACACGTTACAGCATGTAACAACCACCGAAGAAATTCCCGTACAATCCAACAGGTATTGTTGCGACTGCACACTTACAGAAGCAGCAAGAACATGAAGTGGGCCTGCCTGTGGGTCGACTGCCAGCCAGTCCGAGCTCCTCAGAACCAAGACGACCTTCTGGGCTGTGTCCGGCTGTGGCACATCTCCCACGGAGGAGGCCACATAGGCTCTAACCAAGATTTTGCTTCCCTGGTAAATGGGTGTATCGAAAGGACATGCCACAATGTTGATCACTTCGCCCTCCAAGCCAGGATGCAACGTCTTAGCAGCCCTCTGCAAGCGATCCCAATTGTAAAGCAAGCTATCGTAAACTCCATCAGTCATGGCTCAATTGGTACTTGTCTACACGACAAGCGACGGCACTGCCCCGAGTAGGCCTGAGCCGAAGTGCTCTAAACCCCTAAACCCTAAACCCTAAACCCCTAAACCCTAAACCCTAAACCCCTAAACCCTAAACCCTAAAAACGTGAGATGGTCTGAGACCTGAGGTTTGCAGGTCCTTTCGTCAGCTGCAAGGTCAAGAGTGTGAGCGGCTTGCCTGCAAGGCCCCAGGACAGCTCCCGGTGCATCGGTTTAGGGTTTGGGGTTTAGGGTTTAGGGTAAACCCTAAGCTCAAATCCTCAGAGTCCTAAATCCTACATCCCTGCAGCCCAAACCTGGAACGACAAACCCCCTACGATGTTGTCTAATGTAGGGGTACGGACACTTACAGCAGGGTTTCTGGGATACATTTTGGAGTGAGTTTATAGGGATGCTTAGGGGATACTGTTACCCGAAGAGAGCAATACCCCAAAATCAACATGCACGACGAACAGGAGACAACATAAACCCCCAAACCCGTGAGCCTTAACAGCATGTTACTGCCAGCTATTCAGCATCTCCCCCTAAACCCTAAGCCCCTAAGCCCCTAAGCCCTAAACCCAAACCCTAAGCCCTAAGCCCCTAAACCCCTAAACCCCTAAACCCCTAAAGCCCTAAACCCAAAACCCTAAGCCCTAAACCCTAAACCCTAAGCCCTCTATTCCCTCCTCAGGCTATACGGGTCTCCCATGCACGCAGCCTTCGAACATCACCGAGGCAGCCGAGCTCAAAGAAGATCGTTGGGTGCAGGGTTTCAGGGGTTTGGGGTTCAGGGTTTAGGGTTTAGGGGTTAGGGGTTAGGGTCCATGGGTTTAGGGTTTAGGG